TACAAATACGTAGTTCAGCTACAAGATTATGTTCTTGTTTTATTTGTTTGGATAATACATAGTTCAGCTACAAGATTATGTTCTTGTTTTATTTGTTTGGATAATACATAGTTCAGCTACAATATTATGTTCTTGTTTTGGTTGTTTGGATAATACATAGTTCAGCTACAAGATTATGTTCTTGCTTTAGTTGTTTGGATAATACAAATACATAGTTCAGCTACAATATTATGTTCTTGTTTTATTTGTTTGGATAATACGTAGTTCGGCTACAAGATTATGTTCTTGTTTTATTTGTTTGGATAATACATAGTTCAGCTACAATATTATGTTCTTGTTTTAGTTGTTTGGATAATACATAGTTCAGCTACAAGATTATGTTCTTGTTTTAGTTGTTAGGATAATACATAGTTCAGCTACAATATTATGTTCTTGTTTTAGTTGTTTGGGTAATACGTAGTTCGGCTACAAGATTATGTTCTTGTTTTAGTTGTTTGGATAATACATAGTTCAGCTACAAGATTATGTTCTTGTTTTAGTTGTTTGGATAATACATAGTTCAGCTACAATATTATGTTCTTGTTTTAATTGTTTGGATAGTACAAATACTTAATTACATACTTTAAAAATAGTTTTCTTTTACTATTCCTATTATTTTTCCAAGATATTACTACCTCAGGAAAATAGATATTTTTGTTTAATTTTAATTCAATTTATTTACAACAACATTTCAAAGTACTAGTCGTTAAAACTTATAACTTATTAGCAATTAACTGTTATTTTCATGATATAAAGATGAGGTTTTATGTTAAGAATATGTTCCTAATAAAATTCAATACTCTCTGTGTGCTTGAGCCTTCTATAAAAGTTCTTTGACTGTTAAGCGTATAAAATCTATAGATATCAGATGTCTGAGAAACTTTGGCAATAAAATGTTTACAAGATAGCAGACCTTGTTATTTTTTAGGAGAAATGAAAATTTTGATATGAGGAAAAAGTGGGGCATGAGCCTTCGTGCACTGTTTGTTATTAATGTTTTAATTACTTTATTAATAATTTTAAGAATACTTTATATATTTGTTTATGTTGTTGGAGGCACCAGCTGTACACAATAAGTTATAAAAAGCCCACCAGTAGCACAGCGGTATGTCTGCGGGCTTACAACGCTAGAATCCGGGTTTCGATACCCGTGGTGGGCAGAGCACAGATAGCCCAATGTGTAGCTTTGTGCTTAACTTCAAAACAAACAAACAAACAAACAAGTTATAAAAGAATGTTGTTATTAATAGATTATTCAAAAAATTGTAGCACCGATTATTTGTACTGAATGTCAATGTTTCTGTAGTTTTGTAAGGTACATTTGTTGAAAGAGTTCAAAACCCAGTCATCAACTTATTGTGTATGTATGTGTATCCATGCCAGTTGTCCTATAGTATAAACACAATAGAGATCTCATTTAATATTTAAAGATTGTTCAGTGTCATATCATAGATATGACATAAACCTGTTATTTGTATGGTAACTAATGAAGTTTATACGGGGGAAAAAAAAAGGTGAATGTTGCTTGGTCAATTATCATGGAGAAAAAAGATTTTTAAAAAGTTGTTTTGATTGTTATTTAGTGTAATAGTCCAGTTCAAAAAAATGGAATAGTTTTGGTATTGTGCTCATTTTGTGATGAAAAGGCTTGGTTGATTCTCAACCGTGTGGATGCAATAATAGTGCATCTAGGAAATAAGAATTATATACTGGATGTGGAGCACTTCCTCACCTGGATGAAAAATCTGTGTTTATCATGCTTATAAGGCTGAAAGAGAAACAAAATGAAAACTTCTAAGACCTTTAATTAATGAATCTTGTTAATTTCACTGTATTTAATGATCAGGATGACTTAATTGGTAGTTTATATGGGAATGTGGTTTTATAGATATCTGGGTGTAATTTAAGGTGTGTGATCACACCTGCCCTGCTTGTACTCACCTAATAAAGGTAATTGACAAATTAACCTGTAAGTACAGAAGTTCATAGTTTTAAGTTTGAATTAAAGAATTATCTGTACCCACCTTGTGCCATATAATATCACTTAGTCTTCAATAAGGTGTATTATTAAGAGCCACAGACTTTTCTGGATTATTTTAATTTGCAAAATAAGCTTTTGTTTATTAGATCTTTCGTTTTCAGAGAAAGATATATATTGAGAAAGAGATATGTAAAACTGTTTTGTGTTTCATTCTAAATAGTTTCAAGTAAATAACTTGTGTTTTTATATTTGAAGTATTTTGTAACGTGTGTGTCTATATATATATATATATATATATATATATGTGTGTGTAGTAGTAT